TTTGATTATGGTTCAAGTAGGATCCTTGAATATTGTATTCTAAATTTAGGGAATATGATTCCTAGTGGGAGAAGGTAGGAAATTTTTTTGAAATTCGCCCACCCATTCCGCAACCTTTATGGCGTCCATTAGATGGATCCTACCATTCTTTCACTAGTGCAGTACCATAATCGAGTCTAGGGGTTAGGTGTAACATTCCAGTTTTGCCCATATATCTCCAAGGTCCAGGGCAATACTAGAATTTTGGTCCGGTTCAGGGTTTCAAGAAAACTCACACTGCATGTACCTCAGGTCTCACCCTGGTAGCTGAGACAAGCCACCCCACCAACTTGGTGATACATCAGTGTCAGCATTGGCAGGATAAATCCCCCCAGATCTATCCAATGGCTGTGAAGATTCTAAATTAACACGAGTCTCATTAAGTGTCCAATTTAAGGGTATTACACAGAAACACACCACAATTACATGAATCAATTATGTACTTTATTCATTTACAATTTCTGGTACTACTCTCATTCTCAGGCCTAGACCACAAATTTCCCATGTCGGGCTTTCGGGCTTGTTTAAGAATGAGCTCCCCTAAATGTAAACAGATAGTTTTAGGGAGGAATGCTTGTAAGGACGGTTTGAAATTTTGATATCAATGGAGACAATTCCCCATGCATGGCTGGGGAAATTTCGGGGATATTTTGCTTATTTTGCTAAAACATTTGTAAAATATAAAAAGTTCAGGAAATTTTCTAAAAAAATGGAGTTAGTCGTTAATAAACATTAAGGAATTGTTAGAAGTATCATTGAAATTTTAGGCTTAGAAACCATAGCAAACAACCATATAGAACAACAAGAGAAGATTAAGAGACTTAAATAGGTATTCTTCTAGCCAACTGAGGGGTCGCTCAGTTGGTACATTAGCTGGTTTGTCCCAGCAGAGGCGTGGATTTGATTCCTACTACCACCGACTTTGGGGGGGGGATATTTGTGTGGTGATGTGCTATTCAAATGGCCCCTATGGGGGATTTAGGTGTGCCACCAAATACCAAGAAAAGGTATTCTTCTCTATGTCTCTATTTTTGTCTATTCATCTTTTCATTATGTATGTCATTTACTTGTCATTTAGATTTTTTTTTTCTTTTTTTTTTCGTTACCATACATTTTGATTAGATTGGGATTCCTCTTTTTGTTTGCCTGTTTTCTTTTTCTTTTGATTTATAGTGACTTACTAAGTGARAATCATATCAATATAGTAAACCAATCATCCAATCATTGAATACTCATTTGTTCATTTGAGAATTTTTTTTTAAAATTTAGATGATTTAATGAAATATTGAAAAATTTCTATTAATATTCTAAAGTTTTAAACCTTAAATGTATAGTTTATTAATGAAATCTGAAATATCACTGACATATGGATAAAATATCAGTTATATTAGAAAAAATGATTCTTGGAAAAATTTAGTATTGCAACCTGGAAAAATGGGGAGGTTTTGGGGAAATTTCACTAAATCTTGCCATTATTGTGACCCATGCTTGTAAAAAAACTCTAAAACAATTGTACATTAGGATGAAAAAACTCTTTCATCATTTTTTTTTGACAAGTACAAAACTCTTTCATCAATGTAATAAGGAAAAACTTAGGCCTACAAGATTTTAAGCTAAAAAATGTTAAGAAATCGTAAAAGGATCTACGGTAAAATATTTTTCTCTATATTTGTGTTTGTTTGATATTTAATATTTTTTTTCTTTTTTATTATTCACTATGAGGAGACAAGAAAAGTAGTTGAATGTCTAACAAGTGAAGTAAATATTATTCTACTTGTCCCTTGATAGTTGCAGGTAAAAGCAAAGCTACATCATATTCTATTTTGTGCCTGATAGTATGATTGTTCTAAAATGACATTTTTCTTTTTATTTCACATGTTATTGATTTAAGCTTTGTAATTGTATTAGTGTAATCTTGAGGTTTTCTGTTTTATAGATATCAAACAATTGATTTTCGAGTGCCACCACCGCTAAGAAGTTTTGGCAATATTGACACAACCAATGAGTGAGTTTTTGTTTTTATTATGTGTTGTTTTAGTTCATTTGTATGCATCTGTTTGTTATGATGGAAATGCATTTTGGCGGTTGATCATTTTGACACTGTGTTTTTATTGGAAATGAGAGGATAATAGCAAAAAATAGAAAAGAGAAAGTGAAAAACAATTATTGATCAAAAAAAAAAAAAAGAAAGTGAAAAACAAGAACTGGTGGAAGCAGCAGTATAATTTTGACTTAATATGGAACTAGACTTCATCATTTTCATCCAAGCCTTTTCCAAAGTCCCAACTCCCAACTATATGTGGTTGGCTGAATGAATCCTATTTTTTCATTCTGTTCTCTTAACTGCCATATTAACTAGAATGTGATAACAAAACAAAATTACATCGACCTAATAATGTGGGGACAAAGTCTAAGAAAGGGGTAGCAATCCCTTTCTTTTCTTGTTCATGTGACTTCATGATGGGCCGGCTATAGTGGTTTTCACAAATCCATGTGAAGCTATCTCAATTACATGGGCCTAAAAAGTTGCCTTCAGCTACTTTCCCTTTATCTTGGGTAGAAGCAAGATGGTGTTATGAAAGAAAGGAAGGGTCATTAGTCACGTGCTCAGAATCTCTTGAGTCAATAACCCATGAGTTGGAGGAACAAGACTGTATAGCACTCACGACAGACACAATACATGTCTTGGCAAAAGATGAGGAAGCAACAGAGGACCATTTTAGTCGAGCCATAGCTCGATTGAGGATGTCTACCTCTTTAGCTTTGAAGTTAGGGAAGCTTTTAGGAGCATTGATGGTCTGTTCCATATGAGGAGAAGCACAAGAATTAGCAATCTTAGTCACACCATCAACCATATTTGAACTTACATTCTCAATCCTTTTTCCACTATTTTTCTTCTTGAGTTTGGTAGGTATAAGCTCTAGGTGCAAGTTCCAATAGGTGCCTTTAGTATGTTTAGGTTTCTTGTAGTACTCATAGATAACGTCTTTCTTCCCATTGTTGGCCTTCGGCTTTATCCTGACATTAGAATAATGATCAACCTGTGGCTCTATAGATTGAACCTGTCTTATACTCTCCTCACTACTCATCCTAGAATAAGCTTGAGACAAAGTCACCTCATCCTTTGCCAAAACATTCTGCCTCAATATCATACTCTGGGTTGAGCTCGGTGAGGAATTCAAAGACCCGGTTTCTCTCCACCAACTTCCTATGTGTTTTTGCATCCTTTGTACAACCCCAAACCAAAGTTTCCATCAATCAATCTCCTGCCACAGAGATTTCCAATGGAGAAGTAGACGGCTAAGGGCTTCTCCCCTTGTCTTAGATTATTCACATCATTCTTCAATTTGTAGGCCCAGGTAACATTTAGCTTTTGGGAATAGGTCTCTATGATGCTATCCAACAATTCCTTTGCAGTTTCCATCCACAAGTAGTGCTGATTAATATGTGGCTGCATAGAGTTCACTAACCAACCCACTACTGTGTAGTTTTCCTGCATACACCTTTCATAGGTAGGGTCATCCTCCTTCAGTTTCTTCTTGCTCCTAGTAATGTATCCCCATTTCCCTCTACTATACACATTTATTTTAATTGATTAAGACCAGGCTAAATAATTGATTCCATCCAACTTCACAGTGGTCACTGCCCCTAATAGAGTCTTCACAAGCCCCCCTAATAGGAAGAAGATGGAAGAAAGGGAAGAAAAAGAAGAGAGAGTTCTAAACCTCTCTTCAATCCCCAATGATCTCTTTTATTCTTTTATTGTAAAAAATTGAAGACAATTGCATGAGTGCCCTTAGTAGGGCATCCATCACTAAAGACAGCAATAAAAAACAATAAAGAAAAACAGGCCCAAAACTATGGCCCACTACCTACTGACACAAGTCGTAAACATAACTTAAAGAAAAATAAAGAAACAAAGGCCCATTCTCACTACTAAAATGAAACCATATGGTTATTATATTCAGCTGCACTTGGTGAAGGAGGTTCGGTTAGGGAAGAAGTAATGACAGCAGTTTATGGGGTGCAGAAAGCTAAAGAAATGGGAGTGGAAAGGCTGGTTGTTGAAGGTGATTCCAAATTGGTGATCTGTTGTCCAGCAAAGGATGAGAGTGCAGCATGGAACTTTAGAAATAAAGTCAAAATTTAAATGGTATTCAACTGACATGCTGGTTGAAATTAATTGGTACAAAAGTCAGCCAACATTAATTTTCTGTTTGCATTATTGGGAAGGGGTGAGATGGTAGGGACCATATGCTCACACTAATTTCTGTTTGTAATTCACAACTCTTGTTGTACTTGCTATTTATTTATTGAATGAATTCTTCTTTGCTACTGATCAAGAAAGAAACAAAAAAAAAGCTAACCCGATTTAATAAACTAGAAAATAAATTAAATAAAATAACCTAAAAATTATGAAATTTTTATCACTTGAAGAATATGAAGAAATTTACTGATAAAAAAGGAATATGAGGAAACTTGATTTCTTCTTCCATGGTTTGTTTCCTTGCTTCCACACCTGAACCATTGAGGCTGATGTTTTCACTAGACATACAGGGGTTGGAGGGAGACTGGCAGATGGTAGTTAATTGGATTAGGGGTGAGGAGGGGACTCGATAGCCTTGTCACCAAATTTGAGGGGTTAGACTTCTTGCAATTAGTGTGAAAATCTTTTTCTCTTGATTATGAAGATCARCCAATGCTCTCAGTCTTGCCATATCAGGTGTGACTTGATAGTTTGAAGTGAGTAGGAAGTTTCTCTCGGTTATGTCATATGGATTGCATATTTGGGTTCTTTAGCTTTCAGGTTGTATGACTTTATCTTGATACCACAAACCCACCATTGGAAGGTTCATGGGCAAGTAAACTTATGGGCCAGAACTATTTGTTTGAGAAAGGACATTTCATTTTTTCCTCATGAATTGTTTGTGATCTAAGATGGTCAAATATATTAGGCATTTCAATTCATATGTAACCTCTACAGGGTTTCTGTTTGTGTGTTACTTCTCACTGAAAATAAACTTCTAAGTAAWTTTTCATGATTATGTTACTACTTTTAAGTTTAGTTTAGCAAAATATCTGAACTTGTTCAGGTTATTTCTTCCTAACTTATTATTTTTCATAGGCTGAAAGATAGATGGAAGGAGATATGTGCATTTCAAGTTTTTCCATCTAAGAATCAAACGTCCTTTCAAGTTTTTGATCTTGTTGATGATTACATCCAAGAAGAGATCAGAAAGCCAATTGAACAGACTACTTGTACAGTAAGTACCTTTTTTTTGATAAGTAACAATGAAGTTTATCAAGTATAGATGGCAAGCAATATAGACAATGTTTTCATACTTGAAGGGCATAGTCTCTTATCTTCCCCTTATGATTTCACATTACAACTTATTATCCAAGTAGAAGTAGAAAGAAACAAGATAGAAGAGAAGAGGAGGGAAGAGAAGAGACTGTTTGGAGGTTCTAGAAATTGAGGCGGGCAATGCCTGTTCTTATTTATATTAGGGCAACAGAATAATAAAATGTAAATAACAGAATAACCACACAGCCCCTCAAGTTGGGTCATAAATGTCAATCACACCCAACTTATTAGTTGTTACATAACTCATTTTGTTGTTTACAGTTTATGCTCTTTGTGAGTACATCAGCAAGTTGCTCATTGGAATTAACATATAGAGTAAACACTTTTTCTCAAGTTTTTCTCTGATGAAGTACTTATTAACTTCAATGTGCTTGGTTTGGTCATGGAGGATTGGGTTGGCAGCTATGTTGATGGCTGCTTTATTGTTACTAGTAAGTGACATGGGGACTGTTTATTGCAAATGCAACTCTCTTAACAGGTTCTGTATCCATAACACTTTTGCAACTCCATGTGCTGGGGCCCTATGTTCCTGCTTCAGGATTTGATTTGGCCACTACACTTTGTTTCTTGCTATTTCATGTAACTAGATTAGCTCTCATAAAGGTGTGGTTTCTACTAGTGGACTTCTATCATCAATAAATCCAACCCAATTAGCTTATGCTTAACACCAATAAATGTATTAGTTGGCTTTGCTCCCAACTTACTTATATCCTTGAAAGGATCTAGTGCATATTTCCTCTAAGAAGAAAGATGCCTTTTTATGAATGGGCAACCTCAATTCCAAGGGAATAGCAAATGGAGTTAAATCATTCATTTCAATCTGTGTGGCTAGGTCTTTCAATCTTTTTATCAGTCCTAGTCCCTAGTGATAATGATATCATCTATTAGACAATATATGCCCTTAGCTCCAATCAGATTGATGTATACTGAGTTTTATGTATTAATTAAATCTGATGAAGGGAAATTTGGCCCGACCTCGCAGTTACCCAACACGTGGCAGAAACAAGCAACTCGGGACAGTAGAGCGCCTGAAGCAAGCACCAAAAGCAAAATCCAAACTCGCTACTGAGCCCGAACTCCAGACCGCCATACTAGGAGCCCGAGCTCCCCACCAAGGGCCCGAGCTCCCCGCCAGGAGCCCGAGCTCCCTACCAAGAGTTCGAGCTCCCTACTGGGAGTCCGAGCTCCCTGTTAAGAGCCCGAGCTCCCCACTAGGAGTCCGAGCTCGCTGAAGAACCCGAGCTCCCTGCCGAGCCCGAGCTCCCTACTGGGAGTCCGAGCTCCCTGTTAAGAGCCCGAGCCCCCCGCCAAGAGCCCGAGCTCCCTACTGGGAGTCCGAGCTCCCTGTTAAGAGCCCGAGCTCCCCGCCAAGAGCCCGAGCTCCCTACCAAGAGTCCGAGCCCCCCGCCAAGAGCCCGAGCTCCCTACTGGGAGTCCGAGCTCCCT